AACACAATCTGATGTAATAAAATGTCGTGTGAAACAGTTGGGGACACAATCTGTAGTAATAAAATGTCGTGTGAAACAGTTGGGAACACAATCTGATGTAATAAAATGTCGTGTGAAACAGTTGGGAACACAATCTGATGTAATAAAATATCGTGTGTGGCAGTTAGTGAAAACCCACAGTACATGGAGCATACTGTTAGAAGTCAGTAACAGTCTGATGTTTGTGGCACATTAAAAAGACCCCTCCCCCCATCATGATTTTCTTTGTCACGTGAAGCTTGTTTCCTAATGTCATACGCATTCCCTTTCTATTTCTGCTGCAGGTATTTTCTGTATTTATTAACAATGCTCCTAATAGGTAGGTACCGATTATCACGACCCTTTGAAAATCGAAGAAATACTTGGCCCTACAATTTTCTTGTAGAATAAGTTTGGTTTGTTTGTTTTTTAATTTCGCGCAAAGCTACACGAGGGCTATCTGCGCTAGCCGTCCCTAATTTAGCAGTGTAAGACTAGAGGGAAGGCAGCTAGTCATCACCGCCAACTCTTGGGCTACTCTTTTACCAGCGAATAGTGGGATTGACCGTCACACTATAACGCCCCCGCGACTGAAAGGGCGATCATGTTTGGTGTGACGGGGATTCGAACTCGCGACCCTCATATTGCGAGTCGAGCGCCCTAACCACCTGGCCATGCCGGGCCTTGTAGAATAAGAATGTCATGATTACTCCGCCACATTTATAGGGATCAAATAATCATCTGACACGATAAACCTATTCTGAATTTGTAACTAATTGTGGTGCTTTAAAAATGCCTCTTAAGGGGGGTGTTAAGAAAAGAAAATGGTCAGTTAGTATATATTATTCTATAAATACGCAAAAATCATATTAAAACACCAGGTGAATACAGGTTAACTTCACAAACCTGCTATCCAGAACCCGAAAGAGTTCAAAGAGAAAATTCAATCCCTCAGTTGACGAGTTGTTTTGGATTTTAATCTCCTAATATATAAAGACTGATGAACGTACCTAGTGGTACTATGTTAATGCAAATTTCAATTGGACAGTATCAAGCCTTAAACACAAATAGTTCTGGACAAATAGTTCGAAGTAAACAAACATATCTGTTAAACACAGCTTAGAAACATACCAGTTACAGATGTTTTCAGCTAATTAATACTAATTAAAAAATACATATGAAAATTAATAATTTTGTTATTAAAAACTAATTTTCTTAGTCTTAAACTGGCAATTCGTATTTAAAACTTTAAAAATTTGAAATTAACAATAAAATTGCGATTTCGAAATTCTATCTCGAAATGGAAACAAAGCAAACGCTTTTCAAGCAGTTTCTGAAATCAGCAGATAAAGAGGTTAACACTAATGTATGACAAACTTAGAACTAATACTACTTTGTGTTTCTTCAATGGATATTGCATTGGTCAGTGCTTCTGGTCAAGCGTATATAGCTTAAATGATAAGAAAATTTTTTTTATGACTTAATAGAAATTATTTTCTGAAAATTGTTTGTTTGTTTAGAACAAAACCACAGTAAGCTATCTGCTGTGTCCACCGCGGGGGAATCGAACCCCGGATTTTAGAGTTGAAAGCCCAAAGCGTATATAGCTTAAATGATAAGAAAAATATATTTTATGACTTAATAGAAATTATTTTCTGAAAATTGTTTGATTGTTCAGAGCAAAACTAGAGTAGGCTATCTGCTGTGTCCACCGCGGGAGGAATCGAACCCCGGATTTTGGTGTTGATAGCCCGTAGACTTACCGCTGTGAACAGTCAGTTTTAAACAGAGCCACGAATTGCTTTCTGTTGTTTTTGTTTTTTCGTCTGTAAGACTAAAATGATTTTTTTTCTCAAACAACTTTATTACCAGGCTAATGGAACAGATTCAACAAAGAAAATATTTCGCTCCACAACGACTGTAATATACTGTGCTAAGAAAGCTAAAATCACATTTATACAGC